CATAGCATACAGGTGATAAAACGACGGCCTTCATCCTTGTCTGGACGTCTCAGCGTTAAACCCGCGGTTTTAAGTTTGTATTAGTCCATCCTTCTTCTGGGTTTTCATTGGCTTCTGTATACATTGCTTAGTCAGTATTTAGTTTTCTGTTAATAATACTATTTGTTAACCTTGTGTGTATGAGCCTTGTTATTTGTGACTTCAGTTCTTAGCTTTAGTTTCTGATGACTTTAGGTTTATATTTAGTGACATTACCAGTGTTTCCATTCAGTTCCTTCTAACAGTCTCATCTTTGTCTTCATGTGTTTCAAAGTAACTTTGTGTTTCCTAGTTCTGTGGTTTCTAGTATTTCTTGAAAGTCTCCTGCCTTCAATCTCTTTTTTTGGACTTTTGGATTCAACACCATCAACAGTTCAGCTTATGTTCACTTCTGTCTCCTGCATCCTGCATTTGGGCTCCAAGCGATCCACAATCCTGTGTGTGACAGCAGTCCACGGCACACAGACTTTTATACAACCTGAGGAGTCGCTCTCTTCAGACGTGTGGAAAAAATGTTAGTTTAACTCACATCCACATTGGTTTCACTTATCCATGCTAATGATTTTTTTTTTTTTTAGAAAATTAGGGTTCTTGTCTTGAGTGCAATCACAGAAAAGGATCAATTATTTCCTTCAGACTTGGTTGTTTCCAGTTTTCAGTTGCAGTTAGATTTAGGCTTGGTTAGATTTGGGAAACAAAACTTCTTGAACTGGTTTTCCCAACGGGCTTTAGAAAGCTTGTGCACCACAGTGGCTTTCCGATAGAAGGAATTGGAGACAATGAAACCTCTCCTTTGACCATTCCTTCTTCTTGAGTTAAAACAACATGAATGATCAGTTGCAGGGACAACCTTGGAGCACTGACATTTTCATAATGTTGTTGGAACAACACCAACACGGTGATATCATTTCATATTGAATGTGGTGGCTCTGAGAGCCCAGTGACAGGGGAAGAAGAAAAACAACAGTTCTGTGATATAGATTTGTTTTATGACTTTTTCTTCTGTTTGTAATTTATGTGCCTTAAATATTGCATAATGCTTTGTGCCTCAGACAAAGAGAGAATCTTACATATGAAACATCTCACTGGTAAAGCTAATAAATGACCCAGACTATTGTCTGTAAGAAATCAGAAGCCAAATATGTGTGGAAACAGAGTTTTAATCTGAGCAACGAGTTGTAATTTATAAGCTCATCGTGCATTTTTCTTTTTGGAATTAAAAAATAACTTCTGACCAGAGGAGTCTGTGCACTGATTTCCTCTTAAAATGCAGCAATTAGATGGAAAAATAACACAAATATAGTAAAAAATAAAAGCCTTAAAATTGAGTTATGTTCAGCAATCAACACAAAGCTGCCAGGGTTCAAAACAGACTTTGAGATGAGTAAAAAACATTTCGCTGCTCAAAGTCTGCATCATGGTTTCACTTTGTCAAAGAGCATGCATCCTGTTTCTGTCATGAAAGTGAAGAACGCTCGTCTTTGCAACCAAAGACATTATTCACACAGAACAACTTCTCCAACTTTATTTATCTGCCAGATTAAAAACGAGGGAATGGCAACATAATTATGATTTGTATCATATGCAGCTTACTGAGAATTCATTACTGTCTGGTGATATAACTGTACTTAGGTCCATCATAAAGACTCAGTCCTGATTTTAAGATGTGAGTAAGCTGTATGTCATTAGCTGTTGAAATAGTTTTCATACCTTTATGAAACCTTTATTACTTGGTAGTGTTTTGTGAGTGCAGTTGAGAGCCTTGTCTTTGATCAATGCTTTTTTATTTAAATACATCATTTAGAAATTATTTTTAAAAGCAAACAACTAATTGAGCTAACTGAGATTTAACAGGAATATTTTTAGCCTAAAATGAACAGGGCAGGGGTCTCTGTCCTGCAGTTTTGATTTAACTTCCTAGAACCTGTTGTCCACATTTGTGGACATCACATTTTGGGTTGTCTAGACCAAAATACTAAATTTTGCTCTACAAAGGCCTGATGTCCACTTACAAGGACATTATACAGCCACTGTTCTATTGAATTTTAAAGGAATATCCTTATATGTGCATCTCATTTTTGTCAGAAACAAAAATCAAGGAAAACAAATGTGGCAATTCTTTGTTTTTACATTCATCAGGTCCCAATTTGCCCAAATATCAAAGAGAAATTAAAAATGCATGCCATGGAAGAGTTGGGGTCTTAGGAGATTAAAACTCTACAGGAGCAGAAGTCCTGTAGATTTAATCTGTAACCATGGCCATGAAGATACCCAGCCTTAAGTTCAGCATTGTTTTAATCCTCCAGTGTCAGACAGGACGCAGAAATGGAGAGTGAATGAGCCAGAGTTTATGGATGGAGACAATGCATTTGGACATAGAAGGCAGTGCGGCTGCAGCAGACCAGAGCCAGCAGGTCATCAGCTCCCAGCCAGAAGGCCTGAGAATCGTGCTGAGGAATGAGACACCGATGCCAGGCTGCGACCGTCTGTGTATGCTCAGATATTTGTCTCTGTGTGCGAATATTTACAGTGGACAGACAGGGACCGAAACTCTAAAAGTAGAAACGCCACAATGGAAAAAGTCTCACGCGTTCATATATTTTATCTGCGTCACCTCAAAGCCTGCAGAACAGTTTCACTAAAATGTAAATATTGAACATTACAAAGACATTTAAGCTCTATTTTAGGAGTCATTAGACTGAAGTACATTATCACAATAGTTCAAATATGAATGACCATCGATTATCAAGATGATCCAAATAAGTTAGTGAACAAACTTTATCAGAATGATGGAAAATCTCTGGACTACAGATTGAAAAAATTTGGGGGGAGGACGTGATAGATCATTAGGCGGTGAATGTTGTGTGAAAAACAACAAGCGAGTATGTAAGAAAAATGAAAGATAAGAAATAAGAGGAAATGGAAAGAGTGAGTGATTGCCAAAGATAAAAGAGACAAATTGATTAAAAAAAATCAAAAAGAAGAACAGAGAGAACACGAAAGTCTCCAAAAATGGAAATCGTGAAAAATACAAATGTTTCAAAATGACAACTTCCACTTACGTCCCGTACTTCAGGAAATCCATCTATGTGAGGACTTTAGACCTTAAAGACAAGACATGTTCTCTGTTTTGCCTGAAACCCCGTCCTCCGGGTGCTGTTAGCCACATTTCCTGCATAACTAGCATGTTTTGTCAGTGATTTATGTTTGTCTTACCTACATACTGGGTTTGTAAACCCAGTGTATGTCACAGTACTGCAATAAACACACCAACACACCAAAACAGGACATGGAGTTGTTTACTGGCATCAGGTAAAAACTACAACTGACTGGCTTGTAGACCTGATCAAGACAACCTGCTGAAGTTCAAACCGAGCATGACAATGGAGAAGGAAGGTGAATTAAGTGACTTTGGCTGTAACATGGATGTTGGTGCCAGATGGGCTGGTCGTCTATTTCAGAAGCTGCTGATCTAATGGGATTTTCCCACACAACCATCTCTGTGGACCTTTTTCTCATAAAGGAGAAAATATCCAGTGAGTGAAAGTTTTCGGGGCAAAGATGATGCGTTCATGTCAGAGGTCAGAGAAGAAAGGCCCGACCTCTTTGTGCTGATCGGACGGCAACAGTTACAGTCAAGATATGCAGAAAAGCATCTCTGAAGACAGATTAATCCAACAGATTGAACCTTGAAGCAGCAGCAGAGGAGCACATCGGGTACCACTCCTCTCAGCTAAGAACGGGAAGCTGAGGTTAGAATTTACACAGGTTCAGAGAAATTGTACAATTGTAAGGCAGTCCAGGCATCTGATTTGGATGCGTCCTGGGTGCCACTTCCAGGAAGAGAGAAAGGAGCTGCTGGATATATAAATATATCTCAGCTGACTTGGGAATGCCTGAGTGAGGGAGTTCTGGGTTTCTCTACTGTCAGTGGTAGAAGATGGATGGATGGATGAATGGATGAATGGATGGATGGAGAAGGGTGTCCAGCATTGTGAAGCGATGTTAACCTAAAGAGGTCAGTGAGTATATTTTATATAGGCTAGATGTAGATGTGTAATGTGTATATCTGGTTAATTGCCAGATGGTGTGTCAGAGGTGGAGAATGCTGTTTATACATGATGAGATAGCAACGAACGCCAGGCACTGACAAACCCACACATTGCGAGCAGCATTAATGCTCTGCGGGTGTGTGTTGGCCAGAGTCAGAGGAGAGGTTTGAACTGTTTTGAGAAGGAACAGATCCTCTTTCTTATCCCGACCCTCCCCTTATTGTGAAAGAGCATCTCCACTCTGGACAAAGAAGCAGTGGGCAGAATGAGTGCCGTGTTTCATCAGTGTATCATCACCGCTTCGTGGTGTGGGAAAAATTTCCTGGACAGTTATTTCTCTCCCACTTTTTCCTCCTCTGTGATCAGACTGTATTTATAAAAGGAAATACCCTTGTGCAAGTTGTGAAATCCTCAGTGGCCGTTTATCCTTTTTCGGTTGAACTATTTTGGGATTTTACAGTGGACTAGAGAGTTCTTCTTTACTTATTCACTATAAAACTCAAAACATCAGAATCACAAGTACAATAAAAGTCAATATCTGTCCATGCAGTTACAGCATACATACGTGTACTGGACCTCTATGCATACCTTGATGTGGACCAAAGGAGTAAAAGGTGCATATTTGTACAACTCCTAAATTTAGAGGTGCCTAGAAAAGAAAGCAGTAGATTCATGGCAGAAGAATAGGACACACATTTATTTTAATTAATTTTACTCAGCAGTCATTAAAGCCAAAGAATGTCATTAAAATGTATCATCTACATGGACATTTGAGGTGCTCACAGGATCCACTGTTACACTCAGGATGGGGACCCAGCTGTGCTTCACAATCGATGTGACAGCAGCTCCATTATTTATGATTCGATAAGCAGGAAAATAATAATAATTCTGTTTTGTGTATGTCTGCAGCTGGTCTTCTACAAGGCGGTGCAGATTCTGTCCAATCTGGGCCACAGCCTGTCAATCATCACTCTGCTAACCAGCACCATCATCATCTGTTTGTTCAGGTAAAAACACTCACTGACCACAGCTCACAGAAGCACTGTTTCAGTTTAATTCATGGTGACCAGAATTACAAGTCATCTCAAGGCACTGTATACTATAAAGACAAATAAACACTGACAAAACATTAGTGACCACATAGTCAGAGAAAAAAAAATCCCCATAACAGGGACAAAAGCACATGTTCAGAGACCACAGCGCTGTCACCACTTGTTTGATGAATGGGAAAGTGGAGGAAAGAGAAGCATAAAGGAAGCTGTGGAGTCACAGACAACCAGGAAGTGCAAATATTGAGCTGTGTAGAGTTTCGTCTGATGCAGTAAAAGTAGAAATAAAAACTATGAAAGCACCTCACTACACACAAAACTTTATTATTGTCCAAAATTCAAAAGTAAAATGCTTCTGCTGAAGATGTTTAAGATGAACTCAGTTTAAGTGTTCTCATATAAATATGTAATAATATTAAATATTTAATAAAACAGCTATTAAAAAGCTACTGTTAAAAAACATCTCCTGTAACTACAAAAACTGCAACTCTTTTACTTTACACGTGATTATTCTGATAATTACTTGCTAATATTTGCTCTTTTTCCATCTAAAGTACAGATCTTATCTGATCCTAGAACACTGAAAGCAGAGCCGCAGACGACTTGTCTAGTGTCCTGATCACCCATCAAAGACGAGACATAATCCCCAATATGCATGTTCAAACAACCAGAAAAAGCAGCTGTGCTCTCAGTTTGCCCAGCTGCAGGCGCTGATGACAGGACACAAACACACCCATTAATTTGACTCTCAGTCAAGCAGACTAAAGCAGATCAATCCTACTTTAAGATACTTTAGTCCAATTTGATTTTAATCAATGTCTATTTTTAGATTTCACTGGACAAGCATTGATTGCCTTGCTTGTCCTGATGGTGCCATTAACTCCATCAAGGCATTTACTCAGGGCATAACATGTTCCATCACAGTAACCCTGCAAAATAGTATTTTTACCTCTTCGTACAGTCGCCCTGAGAGGTCAAATGGACACCAGCAAATTAAAAAATGCTGCAAAAGCACACAAAACACAACTAAAGCTGAATGAAGCAAAATGGAAGTAGGAAAAAAAAGCTAAAACTAAGAAGCAACTGATAGTATTGGATGCTTCTCTTGGTGGTCAAAGGATGCATTAGAGGGGCTTTTATTCTTCGCCTCAGGAAGAAAACGTGTGTTAGGCAGACTTGCTGAAACAAGCGAACAGGTTGGAGAGGCACAGAGAGGACAGAGAACACAAACGCAGTGGTGGCATCTAAGGACATGCTGTGGAAGAGTGGAGACAGGAGAAGTTGTCGCTGCTTCGTGGAAAGTCCCACAGCTGCCTGAGCCTGTGGCAGCATAACTAAGAGATAATTCATGGTCACCCGACCCAGCTTTAACTATAACTAACTATAACTAGAAGATAAAACTTCTACAAATTGTTGCCTTTGGATGTCATGATTTATAATGTTGTGTGCACATGGACGGATTCAAATTTTCTTACTTACCTGAAAGACAAAGTAAAAGTAACAAAGACGAGGGCGATGCTTTTGAGCTTAACAAGGACACTGCTGGAAACATCCACAGGGGTGGTGGAACAACCTAAAACAAACATCTCTTATATGTAAATGAGGCTTCTTATGAAGGACAAACAAAGGTGCCTCACACTTTTTCTATTAATACAATAACCCTGAAAAGTCTGCAGAAACTCTCTTTCTCTATTAAACATAAAAATATGGTGACGAATGTAAAAAAAAACATGAAACTTCCCTTATGTAATTTTGAAATAGGTTTGTAAAGTTAATGATAATGACTAATCTAACATCTCAATTTAAATTCCCTGAAACAGTGAAAGTTGGTATGTGAAGAAATCAGAAACAGATGATTTTGTCTTCAGTTTTACATCATAGCTCCAGATTTCTATTCTTAGACGCTGCCAGAGTGACTTTGCACGATTCGTAGTCTCATGCTGGGCCCTCGTGCAGCCCCTCAGGTCATCTTTTTAAAGAAAACAAATACAGGGTTTGGAGAGCACGTTTCTTTAGAAAACTCACATTTACTACACCAGCAGACTGCAATCAGAGTTTGGGGTCATGGCTCTGACCTCTTCAGTCTTCTCACATATGTTGAATGAATCATTTTTGTTCTTCTAAAGTGCGGAAATCCTGAAAAAAACGTGAGGTGTAAAGTCAGGCAGGGTCCAGCGCTGAAGGCAAAGTTATCAGTCTTGTTGTGCAAATATCCTGAAAAGTCAAGATAATTTGAACAAATGATGTATTCAGAATCGGGTTATATAACACATTTTTATTTATATACTCTTAACACTTCCGAACATACGGAGCATGATAACAGTTTGTAGAGATGTGCGAAGCTCAGTCTGGATGGACTCCAGCTGCTCACTCGGCCGCTATCAACATGTTTAGATACCGCATCCTTCAGTCAATTCACACCCAGACACTCTGTAAACACACTTCTCTATGTTTGCATGTGTGTGCGTGTTTACAGGAGACTCCACTGCATGAGGAACTACATCCATCTGAACTTGTTCGTGTCGTTCATCCTGCGCGCCGTCGCAGTGCTCGTCAAAGACACCCTGCTCTTCTCGTATGGTGAAACCACAGACTGCAGCCAACAGCCCTCGCTGGTAGCCTTTCACGCATGAAAACACACACACATTTTTTACTTCACCGTTAAACACATTTACTATATGTACAAAAACCTTTAGATGAACCTTAATTAAAGTAGAAACAGGAGGAGTCTGTATTGGTGATACCAACGTTCACCTTTAAAAAACTTTCTGGGCTCTTCCAAGCATCTTGGAGATGAGCACTTTATGAGGCCATCTGTTGCAGGACTCTTGTAGCTGAACTGAATGTTTGGTTTTTTATGACTCTGGCTAAATGTTTGGACTCTTTGTCATGCAGAAGCATGAATTTGGAACCAGTTAGACGCCTTCCTGATGTTGTTTTTGTGTGTGTGTGATGGATAAGAATCTAATGTATCTAAATGTTTTGCACGGCACTGAGGGTCCTTAGGCAGATGGCTATAAATGACCTCAGAGTGAAGCATTGGAAACCATTCACATAAAGAAGCAGCTTTAGTTTAGAAAACTGTGGGTGGCTTGCAAAGTTTACCTCTATATCTGCGTTTTTTCCAACATGTCCACACATGCTGAAGAGAGTTTTCAAATTTGCATTTCTAGCACCGTTAATCCAGGAGTCATGGGTTGGATATACAGTCCTGTGCAAAAGACATCACTCATTTCTTCTTCCAAAAAGCCAGACTTGTAATTTATAAAGTGGTCTTGAGCAATAGTTCTCCAGCTTTGAATGTTCTACCATGTGGATCACCGTTCATGGAGCGGTTAAAAACAAATGTCTTTCAGTTCTGAGAAAAGTAAATTAGTAAATTCATTGGAAACAAGCGCAGATTTTTTTAATACACTGGCTCAACTGCACATTTACACAAAACATTTGAGAAATCTTTTCACAGTGTAAAAACAGTCACCCTAATGCCAGTCATCAAGGTTCACAATGAAGTTGGTGATTCTTCTAATTCTTTGTGAAAATGTATTTCTTAGTGGTCAAATTATAATATTACATACAGAACGTTATATGCAAACTATAGAATGGATGTAACAAAGCATGTTTCTTGTGTGTGTGTGTGTGTGTGTGTGTGTGTGTGTGTGTGTGTGTGTGTGTGTGTGTGTGTGTGTGTGTGTGTGTGTGTGTGTGTGTTTTAGGTGGGCTGTAAGGCCAGCCTGATCTTCTTCCAGTACTTCATCTTAGCTAACTTCTTCTGGCTGCTGGTTGAAGGTCTTTACCTTCACACGCTGCTGCTCGTCCTCCCCACCTACTCCTTCCGCCTCTCCATCTACATGCTCATCGGCTGGGGTAGGTTGAAGCACAATGAGAGCACCGTAACTTTATGTTGTCTTTACAGTCTTATTGGCCTGGTCTTATGTGTTACCACTCATAATGTTCCTATCACCAAGTTAATGTCTTAAAACCCACTGAAACATCTGACGATCATGCATTAAAAACACTTTATTAAAACTGAATAGAAACCAAAGACAATGTAAGACAGTCTAAAGATGATTAAAAAAAACGAATAATAATGGAAACCTCAGACTCCTGGTGAAAGTTTAGAGCACTTGTATTGTGGACTTAGTTTGGTTTCTGCGCAGAGAAAGTTTAGAGTTATCTGACATGAGTGCAGTGAAGTAGAAACAGTCCATTAACATCACTCAGCTAACAAAGTGGTCGAACCATCAGGGAGCTGAGCTACTTGGAACTTTCTCTTTCTTACAAAGTTTCACATACTATGCAATCCAGTGAAAAACTAATTACATCCATGATTCAGTGACTTTTAAAACCTTCTTTATCAGCAATAGCTTGAAGTAATACCTTTTTGAATGGCTTTATCAGTCTCTTACATTGCTGTGGAGAAATTCTGGCACTCTTCTTTAAAACATTACATCGGTTCATTGAGATTTGCAGGCATTTGTTTATACACAGCTCTCTTAACGTCCTCCCGCAGTGTTTCAGTCAGGGTGAGGTTGGGCTTGCTCATAATCTTTTGTCCCAACATTTTTTTTTTCACATTTACCATCTGCTGGCCAAAATCTGAACTATTTCCAAACAAAGCGCAGTCTCTCTCTCTAGAGACGAATTGAGTTGTGAAATTTGTTCCATCATTACCACTCGGTTGAATTAATCCTGGGCTAAACTGACCCCTGAAACCGTTGAAGATTAACCTTATGCTTTAATATGTTGTTGACACGGATGGCTTTTGTTAAGCAATCTACTTAATGTACAGTAACTGGGCTAATTGTTCCTTTTAACCTTTATGTGCACATAAAATGAGACTAGCTGACCTGCCCAAGCTTAGCTGTTGGCAAGTCAGTGCTAAACAATGTACAAATGACCTCTTCACAATGAGCAAACACACTTCTCTGCTACATAATGTCTGCCACTACCCACACAGCACATATAGGTCAGCAATACATCACTGCGCTCTCTGGGATTCATGCTAGGTTAAATTTATCACAGGAGGTGTTGATGCAAAGCAGATCGAGCCCTTAAGAAAATCCCTGCAGAAAAATAAGCTCCGTACGAATGAGGCTGCGAGAGGTCAGGAAGACCAGAAAAGTTTATGAAAATAACAATTCATTCAATGTTCCCTGGTTGCAGTTAGCGTGCTATTAACCCTGCAGTTTAAAAAAATCAATTATATTGATAAATTTAGAAATTTCATAGACAGCCCTGTTGTAGCACCCCTTTAGTGTGAGCCTCTACAAAACACAGTGCCAGCACTCAGACAACCAGCAGACAGTGCGTCACGCTGCTGAAGTGAGCTGGTGTATTCAGGGAAAGTCCGGGCAGTAAACACTCTCCTGGCCTCTGCGTTCGCTCTCTTCCATTCTGTCTCAGCTGCTGCCTTCTGACACCTTCCTTCCACTATCCATCTCCACTTTACCAACAGTTCCTCCCCAATGCATCACCGTTCAGCCCCAGATGTTTAATGTGTGTGTGTAGACGTCATATTTCCTTTGTGGCACTTTGCGAGGATGTTCTGTGCCTGCCAGATAGAGAACCTAAACAGATCCTCTTCTCCTCCATATCTACCTTCCTCTCTACTCTCTGGTTCTCAGGAATCCCTCTTGTGTTCATCGTGGCATGGATCATTTGTAGGATATACATGGAGGACATGGGGTGAGTCTGCAAGTGTTTAAACATTGTTTTCACAAACTGTGTCAAGGTCAGTGCAAAAATCAAACGTTACAAACTTGCAGGCGGCACATTATGCTTATCCTTAATTTCCACCACATGCATGCAGTTGCATTGGTTGAAGCTTATATCAAAATAATGCAACTTTGATTTCATTTAACCATCTCTAGGTCAGGAAATATTACAAATCTCACTGACTTATTTACTCACTTCCAGGTGTTGGGAGATGAACAACACCCCCATACCAAACAGAGTGATCAACTGGCCCATCATGGCATCTATCATTGTGAGTTTTGTCCCAGGATAACCTTGCATACATCAGACAGAGTTTTTTCATGAATTAAAAAAGCACTTCTTAAATGTTTTTTCGGCATCCTGGACACAATTCTTATTAGTTATAAACAGTATAAAGAATTGACCTGAGTAAAAGTGAGTGGATCTGTGGTCAGGATGATTGTACACACAGCCCATTATGCCCCACCAGTGGGTATAACACAGTCTAAATTAATAGGTCAAGTCTGTTTTTTTTATTGTTGTTGTTTTTAGTCATTAATCTGCAATTTGAACTGAAATCCATTTTCATTTTCACCTGCTTTGTCCTTGTTCTCCTTTTCTCATTTTATTTTGCTTTCTTCTACTAAAATATAAAACATTGGATCATTATTTTTATTTTACAAATAAATATTCACCATATTAAAAATGATGCACTATTACAGAACCTGCACAGCCACACATTGGTTTTTAGAGTCACACACTTACTGGACACATCGTTTAAGTGCTCCTGTTCAACTGATGCTAAATGGAAACATGCCATGCAACATTCAGATGGCAGGATTTGGCATTAATGACATGAAAACATGGATCCTGCTTTTTATCAAAGGTTCAGGCTGTTGCTGGTGGTCTAATGATGGCAAGAATGTTAGCTTCACTCACTTGGTACAAACTCAGCATCATTTAAAAACTACAAAAGTATTGCTGCTGATCTGTTTTTGGTCAGCAGCAATACTCAGTACTTTTCTAGGGAAGATGTTATATACAAATAACGAATGACTATAGCATTCACATCTTTATAAACCATACCAGAGTCAATCTGCACAATGAGTCCTTTTAATTTTGAAGCTTTAACACACATAGATGGTTATACTTTAACTCTTGGACTGAACCAGAGCACTTTGTACTGTAGTTTTTATTTTGGTAATAGAGTTTGCTAAAGTACTCACAGATAATGTTTCTTTTTAACATACTGTTTATTGTTGGGTTTCCAGGAGAAAGGTTTAAGCATCAAAACTAGTTGATGAGGTTTAGCAAAAGATCACAGATTGGGATAAAATATTCTGATTATGTCAAAAGTGTCACAGCCAGAGTGATCTAAAACAAACAAGCAGTGCAGGCATAAATCATCCTTCCCATTGAAATCCGTTAGTTTCAGAGTTGCAAAGCTACTCCAGCAACATTCATTTCCATACGCAGCATACTAAAAAAATTACAGTGTGACATATTTTATCGCTATTTTTGGATTTTCTGTGAGACTTGGCCTCAGATGGTGGATCTCTTTATTTACACTGGAAATCCCAGACACAATTATATCCTCTGATACAGACATTCATAAAAAAAGGCTGCTCAGTCATTGAGAAAACATCTGCAAACAGATAAGTTTTAGATAAAATTCAATCAGTCAGCAGTCGATTTCAAAACATGCGAACCAGCAGATAATCCATCAGAGCTGTCATGCTGAACTTTTCTATTTTTACTGTTTTTACTTGTTGCAACAGTGAAGCTCTGCTTGATCCGTTGTGAACGAACTGCTTACTGCTTGTTTTTGCGAAGCTCTATGTAACTGACGTTGTACGATTCGATTGTTGAGCATTTTGCAATAATGTGTGCTCTAATGTGTGCTTTGTGCCATCAAGTTTCCATTTATATTTGGCTATAACTACGATTTAAAGATGTCTTCTAAATATATGAAATGCAGGCAGTTGTAAAGTTATTGTTCTGAAAACGCAGTCATCTGTAAGGACATGCTCTCTGAATGTGTGTTTGTGTATGTTGGTACATGACTGGGCAGGTTTTGGAGCGTAGCTTTCTCGTGAACTGCTTGTTCAAACAGTATGACTGAGTGATGGAGGTCACTTAACACAGAAAACCAGAGAAAATACACTTAAAATTAGGGGAATGCATATACAAAAATACACCTCTGAGTGATGTTTTGTAAAAATATTTGCAACATGTCAAAAGCTTGTTTGAGGATTCAGATTTGGTTATATGGTCGAAGTTAGAGTTAAGGCGTTTTTATAATGCAGCATTATTTGAACCACTGTGGCTAATGATCCAGCTAAGCACAGCTATTAGCTGCACTTGGTTTCACTTCGGCACCTCTCAGTTTTTGTAACCTGGTTGGCTGGTTTCTTATTCTTGAAAAAGTATTTTTTAAGTATCATCATCATATATGTCACATAAACACATGTATGTGGGTGTGAGCTCCTCCACTTACACTCATAGTGAAGAAGGCAGCTGATTTTTATCAACATATGGGAACTGCTCTTCAAAATGAATTGAAACCCAGCTAAGGCCTTTGTGTGTAGTGTTTAGATGTCCTTCCTGTGCCCGTGTTTGGTGCTGGGGCTTCCTCTCGTAGTTCAAAGACATCAAAGGTTAAAGTGCTGATGCTAAAATGGCCATGGACGTGAGATACATAAAGTCCTTAAAGTTTGCACTCTAAAGAGCTTTGAGTGGTTAGTAAAGCTCTCTGTAAATGCAAGTACATCACATTTCACTTACTCAGGTCCCCAGCAAAAAACCACCAAGTGTGGAGTGGACTGTATGAAGGGTTGTTGAGCTTAACAGTGGACGAGTATCTCGTCACTCGGCGCTGTGAGGGGAGCAGAAGACTGACAGATGGACTCGGGCCATGTCTGCAGTGATGTGAACACTATACTGGTCCGTTGTGGTAAAGAGAGAGCTGAGCGTAAAAGCGAAGCTGTCAATTTACTGGTCGTTCTACATCCCTGCCTTCAGCTGTGGTGACCTAAAGTGACAGGGTGAGGAATTCAATTATTTAGAGGGACAGATTAGAGCTGCTACTCCTCCACATTCAATGGAGGTGGCGTGGGGATATCTAAGATTATGACCTGAGTGAGGAGGCCCTGAAGTAGACCCAGGACATGCAGGGGAGATTATGGCTCCCAGTTGGCCTTGAAATGCTTTGGTGTTCCTCAAGATGAGCTGGAGGAGGTAGCTGGGTGGAGGAAGGTCTGCGTTTCTCTGCCTAGGCAAACTTATCCAGACAGCCTGGGTAAATGTGAGAAGATGGATGGATGGAGTTCGGAAACACAACTGTACAGTCAGTCTTTGGACTCTTTGCTCCTGGACAGACAAATTTCATAGAAATTAGTTTCTAACCTTTCTACACTTTTTGCTAATATGACTCCTCTTTCTTTCTGCCGTGTTTCTCTACAAGATCAATTTCATCCTGTTCATCAGCATCATCCGCATCCTGGTGCAGAAACTGCGCAGCTGTGATGTGGGCGGAAACGATCAATGCCAATACAAGTACGTCAAGGAACTGAGGAGTCATATTTTTACCTCCGAGCTCTTGCTGATTAGATTCATATGCATTTAAGAGGGCTTCCTGATAATGTGGTGACGAAAGCAGCAGTCATATCAAATCTCCTCGACACATTAGACAGGAACCATTATCACATTATCAGCTAACTGTGTTTAAACTTGGACATCTTAGTATCAATCTTCCTGCCTGTTTCTGCTTCTCAATCTGGAAACAAATGATTTTGATTATTCTTTCTTTACCAAACAAATAATAGCCATTCCTTCCTCATTGTAACTCTCCTTTTTAATATCCAGAATAAACAATTTTTCTACACTGTTGAGAAAAAGTGAAAGAAAGAGATTTCCCACTGATGGTCTCGCAGATAAGTTTTAGTCTAAATGTATTGTGTGCATTGAGTGAGTATTATGTGTGTTTATCAGGCGCCTGGCTAAGTCCACACTCCTGCTGATCCCTCTGTTTGGGGTGTATTACGTGGTGTTTTTCTACCTGATGGAACCGGAAAATGAAAACGTGAAGCAAGTGAAGATCTTCTTCGACCTCGGCCTCGGATCATTCCAGGTACTATAAGACATTTAAAAACATAAAATTCCTAAATAAAATGATTTGTTTGCCTTTTTTGCTCTGGCAGGAAAATGACTGTAGCGGAAGATAAAAATGTCATCAAGTTAAGACCCAGCAAAGGAGAGAACCACATCAAGAATTTTGACCCTTACAAGATAGTCATGTATGATTGGGAGCTATAGCAAGAAAAATAAACATTGCATGTTCTTTTTTAGCTCATTGACTGTGTCCTAGTTTAATGTCCGGCTCTGTGTCTGCACACAGTCTCCATTCTTTCCCCACATCCTTGACTCTTCTCTGCGGTCTTCCTCTTTTCCTCCTGCCGGGCAGCTTCTGTCCAACATATCCACCATCTCACCTCAGCCTTGCCTCTCTAACTTTGTCCCCAAACACTCAGCCTGAGCTGTCACTCTGATGTGCTCATTTCTTGTGCTGTCCCAACAAACCAGTCATTTAAAGTTGCCTCCACACTTCTGCCTTCCTTTCTCTCCCACTGCCTCTAAAGGCAGAAAGAAAAGAGGAAGACAATGGAGGAGATTGATGAGTGTAGTGAATGAGGACATGCAGTGGGTTGGTGTGACAGATGAGGATGCTCGGGATAGGTGGTGACCCTTAAAGGCAGCATCCTTTAGTATTAATATAGCCTTGTTTCTGACACGTTTGCACTGATCTGTTATGGTGGTATTTGTTTCCTTTTAGGGTCTAATTGTAGCGGTTCTCTACTGTTTCCTCAATAGCGAGGTGAGCCTATGCATGTGTTCTTCGTAACATAATTTACAAGATTTTTTAATGTATAATATATTTAATATAATTCTACTTCTTCTTCTTTTTGCACATAAAGGTTCAGAGTGAGCTGAGGAGGACATGGAAGTGTTTTTCTGTAAAGCGCTGCGTGGGACAGGACTTCAGGCTCCACAGCGTGAACCAAAATGGTACAGAAAGCTCGACCCAGTGTTCTAGAAACTCCCGAGCCCAGTCCATCCTGCAGACTGAGATCACCGGGCTGTGATCTGCGACACAAACAGCCTGTTTTGTTAAAGACTTTGAGAACGGGCGCTCGTGTTCGGTCAGTGTGGAGGAATTATACTTAACCTCGCTTTTATAGACATATCGCCTGATGCTGCAGGGACTGAACTTGTGGCTTGCAAACGTTTTTGAGGTGAAAGACTTCATATTGGACCGTCAAACCTCCCGGAGATATATATATATATTTTTCCACATCGGCGTGAGATTTCACAATGATCTTTAACATTTTTAAACACATAACGGATGAAACAGTGCCTCCTATAATGTTTCCAGAACAACAAATTCATTTTTATAATTATTCTCCACATCCAAAGAATGACTAACTGACTTGAAAAAATAGTTTTCAAATAGTTAATGCACAAATTAAGACTTACATAAAAATGCTAAATCCATATTGGAGAAAGAAACCATACAGTTTATATACCTGAAGGTAGATGTATACAGAAATATTCATATTTTATGTTTAGTTTTATAGGGCTGATCTAGTTCTTCCTTTCATATAAGCTTTTCTTTTTTTAACTGATATGCAGAGTATGTTTGGTTAATAAGGTTCATCCATACCTGCTGATTAGTGCTAAGTAAAAAAAGAATCCACCTCATAATAAAAAAGCCGTACCTATATTTACATGGCTGAGTTATCTACAGTTGTACAGTTGATATGAAGGAAGAAATTAATTATAGAGACCAAACGTGTTGTTCATATCAGGCTGTAAACATGCTTATATGTGCCGTGAAGTTGGGCATTTTAGCATGGCAGGCTATGGGGATGTGGAGCCAGCCTCACGTGGCCAGTAGAGGAACTGCAGTTTTTGGCGCAGTTTTTCAGCTCTGTTGGTTGCTACTGTGATGTGGTAGATGTTGCAAATTATGTTGCAAATATGCTTATAGGTAAGCATATTTATTCCTGCTTTTCAGTTCGGTCATCTCACAGGCTGTTCAGATCATTAATATTGTAAGTTAAGACTCACTGTCCAAGAAAAGATTCAGGAAATATGCAAGGGAAAGTTTTTGTTTAAAAATCAATTTATGTTTTTTTTTTTAACGAAAACAAAGCTGAAAAAATAAAAAATAAAACCAAATAACGGCAGCTCAAATCCCCGACCTCTCACTTTGAAGCCCCACTGAGCTAATTGATTCAGACACTGAGCTGATTATTGACATGGGGAAGCAGAGACCACTACTGTATGTGGAAACAATGTCAACATCTGTCTGTTTTTGGTGCAGATGGGCTACTGCAACAGAAGAAGACCATACCCGATGGCTCTCCTGTCAGCTAAGAGCAGGAAACTGAGGCTATATTTCACACGGGTTCACCAAACGTGGACAACAGAAGATTGGAAAAATGTTGCCTGATCTGATGAGTCTCGATTTCTGCTGCCACGTTTGGATGGTAGGGACAAAATTTGGTATAAACATGAAAGGATGGATCCATCCATTCTTAGATCGGTTCAGGCTGGTGAGCACATCCCTTCGTGACCACGGTGTACCCATTTTCTGATCGCTGCTTCCAGCAGGATCATCTCAACCTGGATTCTTGAACATGACAATGATGTCACTGCACTCAAATCGGCTCCACAGTCACCAGATATCAATCCAGTAGAGAACCTTAGGGATGTAGTGGAACAGGAAATTGGTAGTGGATGTGAAGCCCACAAAACTGGAGTGACTATGTGATGCTATCATGTTAATATGATCCTAAACCTTAAAAGAAAGAACAGGAGGTTCAATCAGGTACTAAGAAGGGGTTATTATTAGTGTTAGGAGCAGGGTAAGTTACCACAGTGATGTAGCCACGTAAACAGAGATCCACCTTCACCTCCAGACTTTAAGCTCAACATACTGCAGCCTTCTGATCTATTACTGTAATTTCACTTTGCAGTGCACCCCTCTGTTTTGACTGGCAAGATATCATTGGTGTTTCCTGGGTAACTGTAGCTCTTGTCACTCTTCATTTTTTCATGTTTTGAATGCATTTGATAACAATGTGTGTTTAAGTTGGTACCAAATTCAGGGCTCAACAAAAACGGCTGTCTGAACAGCACGTTATCGTCAGTAATTTCACTATGATCCTCTTGAAGTTCAGTTTTTTCCTGAAAGTCTATCATGGATCATTGTTGTTTTACATTTAATTTAATAAGGCCTACCACACCTGTTAAATGTATTGTTTTTTCAGTAACTCCATTTACTTTCCCTTATCACGTCAGCAGGGAATGAACGTGATAGCATTCAATTTGAGATAAAATTAGAATACAGATGCTTCACTTTAAGGGTGATCAGTGTTTCCCACACACAGAATGTTCTCATCCAAACGAACTCACCGTAACAGAGTTTTATCAGCGCCTTGAGGCGACAGTTTGGATTTGGCACTATACAAATAAAATGGATTTGATTTGAATTAAAGCCAAAAACCATGCTTGCCTTGTACATAGACTGTTTTGTATTATTTTTCTTTCTTTTTTATACAGTGGAGAGTATATCGCTGGCTGATTGTAAAATGTAGAGAAAGACATCGTTGTTAAATTTGTAAGCTTTTGATCACAACTGTAAACCTGTGATTCCATATGTTTAATCCATAAAAGCTTTTTTTATCGTGGAAATGAAGCTCTGTTTGTTCAATCACACAAACTGAATCCTTTTAAATGTTTTTTCTTCCATATTTGCAGATATTTTCTCATCTTATGTTTATGTTTCTGTGAAGTAGCATAACATAAGCAGCATGAAAGGTGATAGTAAGACAGCATCTGCAGACAGTTCAAGTTTCTTTTAAGTGTCCTCTATTTTCTGGCGTCGCCTTTCAACAATTATCTCACAAAAACATCTGAAGCTGTGAGGCAAAATCTCACCTGCTTTATATAAATTCCACTCACACCTGGATCTCATTAACCTCTACCATTGGGAAAACAGGGTAGACTAAATAACACAGTCTAGACAAAGAAACAGGAATAAAATCATTTTTCCACTTAACAAACTCATTCACCCAACTAAACAGTTTGAAAAGTCACTCTTCACCTAATCTGACTCATGAGGTTATTTTAAATGAAATAAACAATTTTACACAAAAGAAACACCCCTTCATTTGGTTACACCCAATTGACATGCTCAGTGACATCATATCCTATAAAATCAGGAAGTACTGGGGCGGCCCTTCCCACATACCTGTTTTACACATAGGACCTGCTCAAAGGAACACACAATGCTAAGTATAACCAAACTACATAAACAAATGAAAGATTCAAATCAATTAATGATGAAGTGACATTTAGCTTTAAGTACATTTGCACAGATGACATAAATATAACCAATGCTACCACAAACAGACCCGGGATAGTATGTAGAGCCAAGGTTACATGTGCTGTGTTTACATTAAAGCATTATGACAGACTATAGGATAACAGAACACAGAATAACAATATACGCAAGTGGCAAATGAATTCTGTCCTAGCCACTTTGTCACAGTTTCCAGCGGGCACAGTTAAAGGCATCAGTTCGCATCAGACCTGTGAGGTCAAAGGTCAGAGGTCAGTGAGGGTATATTGCTTCACTAGTTAACAGAAAAAAACCAACCTGTGTTATTGTTGCCGCTCTTTACTTTTCCTGTATTTACTTTAGATTGTGACGCATTTGAGCAGAATGGAGTTACACAATTATGAGCTGGACAGAGTCAAAGAAAGCGAAACTGATAACTGGGAAATGTGACTGGTAGGTTCAGATGTCTCATGAAAGCCTTAAAAAATACAGCTCCAAAAAAAGAAAGAAAAGAAGGAACACTCAATTATTATGGCATAACCAAAGTCAGTTAAACCTCAGGGATATCAGTCTGTTCACTTAGGAAACCAGTTCAGCTGCTTTGGTGAAAGTGAAAGTAACAACAGATGCAACAGGACAACAGCCAAACCCCCCAAAAAGAAAATGATTTAGGAGGCAGTGACCACAGACTATTGCTCCCTCCTCATCCCTCCAGACTGATACGTCTCTAGTTTTCCTTTTTTGCTACTGTTGTTAGTATTAGTAACAGGAGACGCTAGCTACAGCTCATTGACATTGCACAGACAGTCCAGCTTGTCCAGGATGTCACAGTCTCAAGAGTGTGGAGGACATACCAGGATGTGGGCTTTAGCATGGCTGTTGAAGGGCATCGCCCACCACCATCATCGGTCTCTGCATCTTTGTGCAGAAGGAATGGAAGATAGAGTAAAAACACAATATGCTTTTTTTTATTCTTGATTTTGTGCCAAGTCATCAAATAAATCTTAATTACGAAAAATGATAACAGCTCAGCCCTGCCTAACTTTGAACCTGTGTCATGTACGATACATATCACAGATCCTCACATGTGAGGACCCTCACTGATATGCTCTGCAGTTACTACGCAGCCCTGCCTAACGTTATCCTCACCAAAGTCTCAACCTGAACCTTTAAACAGCTGTTTGGGGACTGCTGGGTGAAACAGGGGGAATGTGCTCACTCTACTGGGCTAAAACTTAATTTAAGATACAAGGATGAAAGGAGCCCCTTCGCTTCACATGATCTTTTCTTTTTGTTCCCCTGAGAAACTCCCATCTGCTTTTCCATCTGTGCTGCCCGCCCTCTTTTCATCCTCCAGTCACTGTTCCTCTCATCTTACCTGCAGTCAAGCTGAAGACGTGAACCTCGAATCAGTTATGTGGTGATACAGACACATACACAAACTAGGACATGAGTAAAGTTTAACTTAGGATTTCCTAATTCCTCAGCTCTAAAATGTTTTTTAATTAGATTTTAAAGGAAATAAGAAATGTTTAAGGGGTTTAAATCAAAAGGCATCCACCTTGGAGCTCAAGTTGCTAACATGAGCACAGAGAGACAATGATGCTGGTAACTATTGGAAGTTCAATTGACAATATAAAACCCAAAGATATACAAGGGATAGAAGAATCTAAACATAATTTGGGAAGAAAAATAATTTAAAAAGTAATACTAAACAATCTTTCCGAAAACAGTTATGCAAACAATAAATCTGCAAGCCGAATAGTTGCTGAGGAATAATTTGAGCAATTGTTTAAACTCGTGTTTATGTGAGCTGCCGTCCCCTGGTGGTCACTGAAGGTACTTCAGGTGCAAGATGTTATTTGTAGATTTTAAAAAAAAGAAAAGAAAAATACATTGAATTAAAATACTGCATTATTAAATGTTAAAAAGCACAAAAAAGGAAAAAGATCCTTGTCAGGGTCAGATCTTTTATGTCCTGAGACAGAAAAAAAATTGTTTTTACATTCAGATTTTTTCCCCCAAAGAAACATGCTGGATCATTTCTTTTTCAAATTGGTTATTTATTCATTATCTTCTGTCCCATGAAGTGGGCACATCTGTCATAAATATGATTAGATGGCTGAGTGAGACAGAAAGGAGTTCACGCAGAATTTGGAAGTGAAGTTAAAACTCCAGCTGTCGAGAGATGATGAGGAGGAGTGGCCAGACATGAGAGCAAGAAGGTGAAAGTTCAGTGGAGGACATGCTGGCTTTGAAGAGCCTGAGTACGGGCAAAGTGACGATACCCAAAGTCCATCTTGGATAAGAAGCATTACGTAAGCTCGGGCTCCGAAGCTCTGGGATTTGGTTTTGACCGCAATACAGGACACCAGCCTGGAATCATCTTTCATTGGCAGCTTTGTGTGTGTGTGTGTGTGTGGTTCCTCAAAAGCTGAGGAACGACACTGAGCTTTCAGCTTCCTGCTCTGATGTCTGTCCTTCCTCCACCTCATCCCCCGACAGCAGTAAGACTGACTCCCCTTCCACGGTTTGAAGTAAAATCCCTTCTGCCTCATCCTGCCTCCTGCTTCCCGAAGTACGGCTCAAAATCTGAAAATGTGTCCTGCTGCCCACTACAAAGGAATAAAAGTAACTGTGCATTTCTGAAATCCTACTAAATCAATGTTAGCTGTATTAGCTCAGCCCCCACAAACCTGTCATCAATAGAAAAGGCAGGATGTCCCCTCGACAGTGCAGAACGAGTCATGTAGATTGCATTAATGGTGGTTAACGCAGATTTCAGACTTATGTCCTGACTGGGGTCAAAAATGAATTGCTGGGTTTTATATTGTACATTTAGATCAAAGACGGTGAGTCACTCCCCTTTTCTTTATATTTTACTCCTAAAAAGTCAAACTTTCTTGTAATTTTGCTAAAGTGGACTTGAGCAACATTTTTCCAGGTTTTCACGAGGTCTTTGCGGCGCCTTTTAAAAGACAGAGTTACAAAGTGCATCTAAATTTGAATAAAAGCCACACATTAAAGATAAGTTATAGACACATAATCATTTTCACAAAGACACTTCGATACATGCAAATAGATGCAATCTATGGCTCAAAATAAAGGGGAGAAGATTAAGGGAAAGCTAACCTGTCAAACATCAGCCTGGCTGAGTTTTTATAGGTTGTTTTTATGGGTTGTACAGGTTTTAGAGGTTGTTCAAGTGATTTTTCTCAGCAACCTCAAAAATAGGATTGTCTCTGGTTTTAAAGTCAGAGTGAGGAACAGTTGGGAGACCATAGTTAGAGGATGAGAGGCCCGCTCAGAAGGTCTGATATAAGCAGGGTCCTGTCCATGTAAGCAGCCCCTGCTTACATCCTCACCCCGGGGAACTCCAGGCCTTAAGGGCCGGTGTCCTGCAGGTTTTAGATCTCACCCTGGGTCAACACACCTGAATCAAATGAGCAGTTCATTACCAGGCTTCATTAACCTGTCTTGGAAAACTTCAAGACAGGTTAATGAAGTTATTTAATCAGCTGTGTTGGATCAAGGACACATCTAAAACCTGCAGGACACCGGCCCTTGAGGCCTGGAGTTCCCCACCCCTGATGCACAGCTTTGATGATAATAACAGGATTTTAAAGTGGCCTCTGAATTTCACTGAAAACAGTGAAGGGCAGCAGGAATACGTGTGATATGTTGCTCTCTGCACCAGCTGGAGATGGACACTGGCTGCTTTTTCACTCATTTTCAGTCCACTCCCTGTACCTGATCTATGACTGACTGAGGTATAAAAAGGCAAGCTCAGTGACAAGCAAGCTACCAGAAGACTTCACACAAGCAGAATTCATACTCAGTTGTGATTAAATACATTCATAAGTTTGGGAAAGACTGGATTAGCACACAGAGTTATAGGATTATGTAGAAGGACTGCCTTAAAAATTCTTTAGTTTTCAGAGTTTTTACCACCACAG